AGTCCAGTTCTCGAGTTTTCAAGGTCAAAATGGCGAGCAAAGTCCAGGTTCCACTGCTGCCAGAAATTCAGCATTGTGACCTTTGATGTTCAAAACTCCACAAAGCATCCTTCTTGCTTCTTTTTGGCCAATGAACCTGAAAATATGCAAAAACGTGCATATGAAGGTAATCTACATAATTAAACAAACAATGGACTTAAATAATGCAATTAAGGGCGCTTGAATAAATAATGCAATTAAGGGCGCTTGAATATGCAATATTCGGTGCTTATCAGCTGATTTGGACAAGTTCAAACAATTCTTCAACCAAATGGAGGCATCCATCTCAGCCAACCTCCACTTATGCCCACTCAAGTACTATTGCGTCTGCACATAGCGTATCTACATCTTCGACACCATGGATCATTGATTTTGGTGCTTTAGACAATATGACTGGTATGTCCTCATTCTTCCAATCTTATATGTTTGCTCTGGCCATCACAAGGTACGCCTTGCGGATGGCTCTCCATCTTCCATTGCTGGGAAGGGTCACATATCAGTTACTCCTTCATTAATTTTGTTAGATACACTTCATGTTTCACAGTTGACTACAAATTTTATTTCCGTTAGTAGCGTTACCAAACAATTAAATTGTAGTGTACTGTTTTTTCCCTCTCATTGTACTTTTTAGGATCTGGTGTCAAAACGAACGATTGGCAGTGGGTGTGAAGTGGACAGTCTATACCTGTTGGATGCTCCTTTGTCACCTCAAGCACATTCAACTTCAGTTTCTAATTTTGTTTCATCTAATAAAGCCCAACTTATGCATTGGCACATGCGTTTAGGACATATTTCTTTCGGTTATTTAAAACATTTATTTCCTTCCGTATTTTGTAACGTGGCAATGTTCAATTTATCTTGTGAGACATGTCATATGGCTAAACATGTTCATTCTAATTATCCTGCTAGTATTAACAAATCTGCTTTAACACCTTTTGATCTTGTTCATTTAGATGTGTGGCGTCCTTTCTTAGTTGCTTCTAGTCTTGGATTTCGATATTTCGTGTTGTTCATTGATCATCATAGTCGTGTTACATGGGTTTATCTCTTACGAAAACCAAAAATCAGGTATACACCATTTTTAAAAATTTTATGACAATGGTTCAGACTCAATATAGTTGTACCATTAAAAATTTTAGATTTGACCAGGGTACGGAGTACACTTATGGGGAGGTACAACGGTTATGTATAGAATTTGGGATTGAGCATCAGATGGCTAATGTTAAAACTCCTCAACAGAATGGCCATTTTGAGAGAAAGAATCGCCACATCCTTGACTTAGCCAGAGCAATCTGCATTGGCATGAATGTTCCCCAGTCATTTTGGGGAGATGCAGTTCTTATAGCTGTTTACATCATTAATAGGACTCGTTCTAGGGTTCTTAACTTTGCAGCCCCACTTTCAATCTTACATCCCAATTCATCTCTTTTTTTGATTCCTCCACGAGTCTTTGGGTGTGTGTTTTATTCAACAGTTGGGGCAGACTCGTACAAAGCATGACCCTAAGGCTTTGAAGTGTGTGTTTTTGGGCTATTCTCACTCTCAAAAAGGTTATAGGTGTTACCATCCTCCCAGTTGTCGACGGTTTATATCCATGGATGTTTCTTTCTTTGAGCATACACCATACTATAGTGGTTCAGTTGGATCTCAAAGTGAATGGTTCCCTTTGAATATAATTGATGATCACTTTCTTCCGTCTTCAACTCCTCTATCGTTACCCATTTTGTCTTTTATGATTCCTCCTCGTGATACCCTTTTTCATAGGTTTATAGTCGGAGACAACAGGTACAAGCTTCTACTCCCACAATCGACTGCCCTGTTCCTTTGGCACCAGCTCTGCCTTCTCAAGCTATTGTTTCGCTTGATGACCTCCCCATTGCTCTTCGAAAGGGTAAACATTCTTATACATACCCTATTTCTAATTTTGTTTTTGATTATGCTCTCTCACCCTCCTATCGGAGTTTTCTTGTTTCTGTTGCCTCGGTTCCTCTTTCTTCTAGTGTTGCAATTGCATTAGCACAACCTCAATGGCATGATGCTATGACAGAAGAACTACAAGCACTTAAGAAAAATCAGACTTGGGACATGGTTCTGCTTCCTATTGGACAAAAGGCTGTGGGATGTCGTTGGGTGTTTACAGTTAAGCATAATCCAGATGGTTCAGTTGCTCATTACAAGGCCCGGTTGGTTGCTAAAGGTTATGCTCAGACTTATGGCATAGATTATCAGGAGACTTTTGTCCCTGTTGCCAAGATGAATACCATTGGTGTATTATTTTCCGTTGCTACCATTCGATCTTGGCCTCTATTTCAGTTAGATGTCAAAAATGCCTTTCTCAATGGTGATTTGCAGGAGGAGGTGTACATGGTTCCTCCTCTAGGCTCCTGCTCATTCTTGTATGGTATGTCGTCTTCGTCGTTCTCTGTATGGCCTTAAGCAGTCTCCTTGAGCTTGGTTTGATCGCTTTGGCACTGCCATGCTCAAGTTTGGTTTCTATCAAAGTGCAGCTGATCATACCTTGTTTTTACGTCATTCAGGCAGTAAGACAGCTGCTCTCATTGTGTATGTCGATGACATTGTTCTTACCGGCGATGATACTACCGGAATTGCTGAGGTTAAGAGCTATCTTGGCCGTCAGTTTGAGATTAAGGATCTTGGTCCCCTACGGTACTTCTTGGGCATTGAGGTGGCTCGCTCCAAGGCAGGCATTTTAATCTCTCAACGCAAGTATATTCTTGACTTGCTTTCTGCTTCTGGTTAGCTTGGCGCTCGTCTTGCTGATACTCTGAGCAGAGTCATCGGTTGGCTGATTCTGAGGGGAAGTTGTTGTCAGATCTTGGTCAATATCAATGACTTGTGGGGAAGCTCATCTATTTATCCATGACTCGACTTGACATTGCTTATGCCGTGAGTGTCGTGAGTCAATTCATGCACTCTCCTCGTGCCCCTCACCTTGATGCTGCTATTCGGATCCTTCGCTACTTAAAAGGGTGTCCAGGTCGTGGTATTTTGTTTTCCAATCATGGTCACTTACGTGTTGAGGCTTGGACAGATGCTAATTATACAGGATTAATTTCAGATAGGAGGTCAACTTTGGGTTATTGTACCACTATTGGTGGTAACTTGGTTACTTGGTGCAATAAGAAGCAGGATGTTGTCTCTCGTTCTAGTGCAGAGGCAGAGTATAGGACTATGGCTCTTGGGGTATGTGAGTTGCTATGACTGAAAACCTTGATGACAGACTTGTGCCTTCCAATGTTGCTTCCATTCTCACTATACTGCGATAACAAGTCTGCCATTAGCATAGCAGCAAATCCTGTTCAGCATGACAGGACTAAGCATATAGAGGTGGACCGTTAAGATCATCTCTGGTCAAATTTGCACTCCATTTGTCACAAGCTCTCAGCAGCTTGCAGACATTCTAACAAAGGGCGTCAGCAAGATTGTGTTTGAGAATACATTGTCAAAGTTGGGCATTTCAGATATCCACGCACCAACTTGATGGGGAGTGTTAGCATATATGGTATCTACGATTTATGGAATGACTTACCATAATAGCAGAGATTTGACTATGCATATGTTAGCATATATGATAGCTACGATTTATGGAATGACTTACCATATTAGTAGAGATTTGATTATGCTATAGAATATGCCATAGAATATGCTTTAGAATATGCTATGATTTGATTTAGATTTGATTTAGTTTCCTTTCTTATAATATGAGCATGTGCTCTTTTTATCTATAAATGCTAGAACTGTGAATGAGTGATTCATCTCATTCAAGCCTTTACACAATTCTCTCCTTCTTTTTATATTTCAACTGGTATGATCAGCCTGCTCTGATACCATGTCAAAGTTGATTAGAGAAATAGAAAATGAAGAACATGAGAATATTTGTGGTTCAACCAGTAGGACTTACATCCACGGCACACAAAACTTAAAGGGCTACATATCTTTATCATATTCTCTCTTAATCTTTCTATACAATGATCACCTCTATTTATAGGTGAAAGAATACAAGTGATAAATATGGAAAATATATTGATGGAAGATTCCTAAAATTAATACCATAAATCACTCCAATAAAATATTCTATCATAGGCTAAAATCTCTCCTATGAAATTCTCATATCAAATATTCTATCAAGGGTTCCTATAATAATACTCTAGTAGAATAAAGCAAAACTCTTTTCAATGGTTGCAAAGTTATGAGTGATGTCGACAATATCAATTTTGTGATTTACATTTTGAAATCATATATATGTATATAATGTCAGTAGGATTTCTAATTCTATCCTGCTTCAACGAGAAGCACCAGTTTAACTCTTTTTTTTTTTTTTTTTTTTTGGTGTTGTGTTGGGGGGGGGGGGGGGGGGGTGTCTGATTTTATTTCGATATAGTAGTATAAATATTTATCCCTCTTATACAAATAAAAAACTCTCTTGGTTTCACCTCATTTCTTTCTAAAGAAAGGGAATTCTAAATAGAATTCTTATTTTTTTCTTTTGAATTTCTAATTCTATTTATTATTATTATTATTATTATTATGAAATGAATTCTATTTTGATTCTACTTATATGGAATGAATATTCTAAACGAAATAGAATCAGGGAGGTCTTCTTATGTCTTTTTCTTGGTGATTTAGAATAGAGCAAATAGTCAGTCAGAAGTAGGAGAATGTCTAGGAATTTCGGTCTCAAAATTTAGAATATATTGAAATCAAAACTTGTCATAATATTAGGCTACGCTGTTACTCATGGAAATGCTGCTACATGTAGTTTTGCCTCTGCAAATGCTTGTAGTATAACACTATCTGTCAGTATAGTATGGTAATCCTCAAATGTTGTATGATTTTTTTTTTAGTATCAGGTGCTGGACATAAAAATGAGATTCTAATAGACTAGCAATGTCTATGAATTTTTATCCTCGTTGTGGTTCACGAATGGTTATATGTTGCAGAAGTTAAAGGCTAGGTCTTTTCTAAAGCGGATTGTTGGAACAGTTGTGCGATCAGTGCAAGAGGACCAAAAGGAGCAAGGTCAGCATTTATATAATTATTGCTACAGTATTATTTTCCATTTCCTATGAAGGAAATCTACAATTTTCAGTTTTGGTTCTCATCATCTATGGAATTAATTTGGATTTGTGAGGTTTTATATTTCATCATTCTCCTTCATTTCTTATTTTCTTGGTCCATACTATAATTATTAGGTTTCTTATTGGTTTTATTATATATTCAGTCACTGTTTATTCATTATAGTTTCATCGGTTCCAAGTTTGCATCCTTATTCTATGGCCTTTAGGAAACTATCAGTTGGAATCCATGTTTATAACAGGAACTACATGTTGAAATATTTTTGAGTAAAAGATGCAAGTTATTGTGGCTTGCTTAGCATGGCTTATTTCTGTATGTATTCATCCACAGTAGATATATATATGGAATATAAAAGGCAGGCCTTGGCGAAATGATAAGCTTGTTCTTTTGTGACCTGAACATCATGGGTTCAAAACTAAAAACAGCCTCTCCACATACGGAGGTAAGGTACCATACATTTGACCCTTCCTAGACCCCATGATTAGGGGTGGCAATTCGTTTTGTTGTGTCGTATTCGTGTTATGTCATGACACGACGATCTTGTTATATGGGTAGACGCAAACACGATATGTTTATAATTCGTATCAAAGAACCTTGACAAGAACACAACACGATTATTAAACAAGAAGCTTGACATGACATAACCTGTTTAATAAATGGGTCAAGACCTAATGTGACACGACAATGCAAGACACGTTTACTTTATATTCCATATTTTTAGGGTCATATCTAACACGAACATGACATGTTTACCTAATACGTTTAGTTACACCGGTTAAATTTTTTTTTTCATAGTTGGTACCCCCCCTCTTCTTTGGACAAATTGTTTGCATCCAAGAGGATTCGAACCTTAGACCCATTACACGGGTCATTTGTAACATGAATACGACACGTTTATCCGATACATTGGGTTAAACGGGTCTAATTGGGTTATATAGGGGTTGGCGGGTCAAACACAAACACGACATGTTTAATTAGCATTTCAATTAAAACTCGGGTTGACACGATTATGGCCCAAACACGATCAAGCCAAATCCAAATTGATGGCGGCCAAGGCACGACCCAAGAGCTGGAACGGTAAATGACCCACACTTACTTTTGGAGAAGGGGAAGAGAAAGATGGAATTAGGAATTTTACTAAATTATGGTTTTTATTTATGCTTATTAATTTTGTATTTTTTGAATTTTAGGGTTATTTTGATATTTTTATTTTTTAGGGTTTGCTTACTAATTTGCCAATGTAAATGCTCATATGTAATAAGATAAATCAGCTTATAATTATTGAGTAATATTCTGAGTTTGAGAACTCTCCTTTGTCTTCTTCTCCTTCAATGTTCTTGTTTTTCTGTAAACCCTGTCCGTCCAACCTACCTATTCACCCTTATTTCTCATCCCATTCATCTGTATCCTCACCCCTTTCTTCTAGTCTCATTCTCACCCCCTTCTTTCTTTTTGGTTCTAAATCAAAATTACAACAGGCCTACCCGTCCCGCATCAACTTGGTATCAGAATGAAAGATCCAAGTAACACAATTATTCAAATCACCAAATCCAAGACCCATAAAATATACGACTATTGCTCGATACCATACCATCAACTCACCTAAACCCACAGGCTTGTCACCGAAACCCTAACCCGCCACCCAAACAGCAACCAAACAAAGTCCATTCTGCCATGACAAATCCTACTGTTCAATAGCCCTCCTAAACCAAACCAACCACCCTACTCACAGCAAATCCGTATCAACAACCAATTGGAACCCAATCCTGTCGCCCTCTTCATCTTAGAAAATCCCTCACTGCCATCAACCCAAACAACTAAAACTCCCACTTAACAACATACCCATCAATCCTCGCAAATGCCTAATTGCAAAACCAAAACCCCCAACACCCCCCCCCCCCCCCCCCCCCCCCCTCCCCAAAAAAAAAAAAAACCCCATCATTGCGGTGTAAACTACCAGTCACAGCCCATATACCCACAGCTGCAAACTACCACCCATTAATCCTGAAACCCATCAAATTCCACCTTTGCAAAACCCAGATCAAACAGAACCCCTGCCTGAGCTACCATCACAGTTGAAGCATACAACAAGGTGCCTCCCCTCACCGCCAACAATCACAAGCCATCTCGCGTCTCGCCGATCATCAAAGTGGGAGGCGCTCTTCATCATCATTGCCTCTAATATCTTCGTTGGGAAAGTTCTACCATCATCTTGGGTTTTTGCCAGAGCATCTCATTGTCAGTCTTCATCACCGGTCACCTTCCTTGCCATCGTCGTCCCCATCAAAGTCCCTTGTCGTTACTGCAACTGTATTGCGAAAGGAGCCTAGGCTTGTTCTGCTGTGACTGATTTTGGGAAGGGAAATCAGTGGGTTGTTTTAGCCCCAAAGCTAACCTGACCCACATGGCAGTTTGACCCGTATCCAGTTATTTACAAAAAAAAAAGTTACTAACAGCCCAGATTATAAACCCAAAACCAGCTGTTTGGACCAAGAGTACCAAGACCCAGTTATTTAATTCACATCCAGCCCATTGGTTAGTACCCAGACGGGCCAGACCTTATCTTATTCTTAGCCGGATCCAGCATCTTTTTATTTTCTCACTTCTTCCAAAAACCACCCAACTCAAGCCCAAGACTTATATTGCTTAAACCCAACCCAGCATTTTTTCCAAGCCTTGAGGAATCAAACCCAAAGCCAGACCCAAACTACCTTACTAATGAATCAGAATCATGCCACAGTCCAGATTTTGAAAAAAAATTGAGAAGAAAAAACAGAAAAAAAATGCTTTGTAAGACTAGGGCAAGTGGTCATTGATCTGTTACTTGTTATGCTTCAAAGAAAAAACTGCAAAACATTTTCCCTTGGAAGACAGAAAAAGGATCGTACTTTATAAAACACCCTATTTTTGATTTAAAAAGCGGATTTCACCATCCATTGTGTGGGCAATGCTGAAGACAATCGGCAACCAATTCAACAATCAGCCTGTGGAGGCGCCTAGGAAGAATATCAGTTAATTGGAAAGAAGATGAAAAGTAAGGTTAATGGCTGTAAAGCAGGACACTTGTCCCACGGAGGTAGAGAAGTCCCCGTTAAAAGTGTCTTGCAAGCAGTCTCAACATTAAGGGCCTGTTTGGGGGAGCTTCCTAGGGCCTCCAAACGGGCTTTCAAGCCTCAAAAGGCATTTCTAAAAAAATATGAATGTTTGGTGACGTTTATGAAATGGACTTTTAAAGAACGTGGAAGTCCTAGAAAGCCCGTTAGGCCGAAGCTCAAAATACTTGCTTTTAAAATTGTGTTTCTGAAAAGTGCGCAGCATGTCAAGTGGAATATAACAGAATTACTATATTATCCCTGTATACTGATTATTTTGCCCATCCTATCCTTTGTTCTTAATTTTATTACCACCTGTGTTCTCTCTGTTACAACACGCCGTTGAGAGCCCTCCTCCTCCTCCTCCTTCTTCCCCGCTTTCTCTCTCTTAGATCCCAAGTTCTTCTAGCCGGTTGGCGTCGAAGTTGATGGTGGATGAGAAAGCGAAGAAGACGGCGTCTATGGCACACCAAATCTGTGCTTCGCTGCAATCCGAGCAATATGGGTCTGCCATGGATTCCGTTGACTGGAAAAGGACCTGTGATTGATGTTATACCTTTAATTATTCATTTATTTTGTATTCTTCTTGGTTTCCCTTTCTCCAATCTCCCTGACAATAAAATAAAAAATATGAGTTGGAAAGAAGGGAGTATATATATATATATATATATTTATATGTACATGGGAATACGAATAATCATCAAATTAGATAGTTTAGAAAGTTGTCCTGAGCTGCTAAAATGACTTTGGATATGAGCCGTGAGAGGTAAGCATCTTTGAAAACACCATTTGAGATAGAACTATGCAAATGCAAATTAGGGTGCTGCTTGGATTTAGGGGCCATATTTAGGTAATTATTATTTTTTTCCTTGTTAGGTAATTGATTTAGGTATATATATTTATATGTAATTAATTTTATTTATACATAGAGAAAGGAGTTGAACCTACTGATGAATGGTGATGAAGGTAAATTTATGGGATGAACTTGCTGCTGACGAATGGATATTTACATATGCCTATATATATATATATTATACAAAATTGTTTTATGAGGTATGACTGGTTATGTAATGGACGGTGTTGTTTTATGAGCTATGACTGGTTATGTAATGGAAGGTGTTATGGTTCATGGGATGTGGGGATAACATCGTCAATTTAAGAATATTGAATTATTTAAGTGAATTATGTTTTAATTCAAAAGGACTTTAAAATTTGAATTCACCAAACACCTTTTATGAATTAAATTCCTTTTATACAAAGTGATTCTTCAATGGCCTTACTAAAGGACTTCTGAGTAATAAGAAGCTCCCCTAAACAGGCCCTTGCTATGGCATGCTTTTTTATCAGCTCACATATTTTTGCTGGGATCTTGAAACATGCGATAGTAAATGCTGTGATTGCTTGCGAGTTGCTTTTAATGAGGACTTCTCTACATCCATGAGATTAGTGTCCTGCTTCTAATTGAGTATTAATGTGAGTTAAAGTTGAAGAAGTTAGGGTTTGTAGAAGTAGAGAAGAAGAGGAAGAAGATGAGAGAAAGAGAGAGGAGTATTTTGTGAAAGGTGAGACACGCAGATTAGGGTTTTCCCCACACCTCTCACCTATTATATATTAAGTAGACAATAGTACCCTTGATAAATAAAAGAAATAACAACCACACTCTCTAACACTCCTCAAGCTGGAGCATACAAATTATACATGCCTAGCTTGGAACACATGCGCTGAAAAGCAGGACGGGCTAACGGCTTCGTAAGAACATCACCCTGCTGGTTTGCAGAGCAAATATAGGGAGTAACAATCTGATTTTGCATAAGCATATTTCGAATAAAATGACAATCCACCTTAATATGC